ACTGAAAAATCTCACCACGTTGTCGAATCGTGTCCGGTCTTTATACGCAAACGATTATGGCAAAAGTCACTGTGTGTCATATTGGAGATGGTCATATGAATGAATAGCTGAATGTTCGAACCAAGATAGTGATAAATGAGCAGATAGTGTGCTCTAGCTTGCTAACCCTTTAAGTAGTATTGCACCCATGCAGATGTGCACCATTTTATTAAATTTTATTTATTATTAGAGTCCATGAAGACATAAGGTGACCTGATACTGTACCAACATTCATTAAGATCAATTGGAGGTTATAAATGAACATATTTATGTACTTTGCCCACTGTTAATGACTGTAATGGTTTTGATAAATGCTCTTGGGACATTTGCCTGTGGGTGTTGCCCCCCCCCCCCCCCAATAGTTCATCATTCCACAGACTCCCATTCTCCCCCTGTGGCTTTGCCACTACTGCTTGGCAGATTGTACAAGTAAAATATTGTGAGAAAATTTTAATGTGGAATATGGTGAATTGGTGGATATTTGTAGGGGTGCACCGGATATAGTATCCGGCCGGATAGTGACAAAATCGTACTATTCGGCTGGATATTTACTATTATCCAACCGGATACCAGATAATTTGTTTTTCATGAAGTGTACTAAATTTCCGTTAATTGAAACATATAAAAAATACTAAATAAATAGAAACACAAAAAAGGACATGTGAAAAAGCTAGCCACTGATATAATTAATTGAATTAATTAACTATTCGCAGCATTTGGTACCAAAAGCTCTACTAAATCCCATCGCTCAAAAACTTTGGGAAGTTTTCGGGAAACATGTGAACAGTGGAAAAAGTTAAAAACAGATTTTTAGTTAACCATAATTGATTATTTACTCAAAAATTAAAATAGTGCCACCTTCTGCACTAATACATGGATGAGAAAAATCCTTATAATATATATTATAGGTCAAGTATTCAAATTGATAAAATATCCAGTATCCGGCTGGGTAATCCGGCCGGAATTTTTTCAGATATCCGGCCGGAATTTTTTCAGATATCCGGCAAATCCGGTATCCGGCCGGATAGTAAAAATCACTATCCGGTGTACCCCTAGCCCTAGATATTTGCCACTTCTTGGTCAATCTTGGATTAGTCCGAAATTCTGGATTTTTTTTAGTACACAACCATGTTTATACAAAAATAATAAAAAGTGTACTAACAAATACCTACCATAAGTGGTGTTCTTCCTTCATTATCACGACTATTCACATTAGCATTGTACTCAAGCAGTATCCATACAACCGCTTCGTGGCCTTTCTTACATGCTATATGCAATGATGTAGCGCCTTCATCATTCATGAATTCAATATTAATATTGGGATCTTGAAGTACTCTATGCACCTCTGTATCGTCCCCTGCCTCACAAGCACGATGTAAATTTCGTCCAAGTTCTACAGTAATACTAGGTTGTGTCTGACATAAAGATGGAGGCGGAGACCGACCACCACCACAACATCGTACTAACTTAGTTGCAAGTCCACCAGCTTGCTCCCTGTAATAATTCACAAGCGTGTCTAAACCTGCAAATAAAGGTCCTTCATCTATACTGAAATGACAATGTCCATGGTGACGTATTTGGTAGTGAAATGCTGTATGCTCGTTCCATAATGATAGGACAAAACTTCCTGGAGCATTCGTACTTTCACGAACAAGAAATAGGCCATCTTGTTGACCAGCTTCTATCAACAATCGGTATGCTTGATCGCGAGAAAGTTTGCCATGAAACCAGAGCATATCTTTTCGCTGTGATGCCTGATCCGAGATCATATTGAAGTACCGCGAGAATACGTACAAAATAGTCTGTAATAATTCATTATTTGGCAAAGGCGGTCAAATCACGACAACAAAAACAAATAGCTCTTAACCTTGATGTACAGCCCACAACCCGGAAGTCCATAGTATGCGGCACTTGACTGATCGAACCACGGTTAATAGAATTAGAATTAACCGTGATCGAACCAATGTTCTATATATGCCTCAAACCAGTGGCTCATGGTGCAAACTCTTCAGGAACAAAACTTTTTAAAATACAAGATAGCCACAATTTAAAAACATTCATTTCTGGAATGTTAAATATATAAAATGTTAAATGTTGACAAATGTGGTATTAACAATTTAAAAACATTTAGTGGCAATGAATAAATTATATTATGCAGTCTCAAATTTAATATTCCAAAAAATTCTTAAATATGATCTCACCTACGTCTCGCCTTTCTACGCCACCGGGCGCATCATGCAATAAACTGAATACAAAGCACTTTCCATAAATTTGCCCAAAGAATTCTGCACTAAACTACTTACAAATCGCTAAGTTTTTAAGAGAGGATGTCCACAAAAATCAAACATAAGGCGGCCACGACGGAAAAATCGATTTTGCTCAAATTTTTCCCAGATATACCTTATTATATCGGAAAATGCACCATATATTTTTTTAGGTCAAATGCTTTTTTAACTTTGAG